CGATCCGGAAAACCCGCGGGTTATATGCGTGTGCGGGTTATTTGCGTGGGCGGGTTATATGGGTGAAAATACGGTAATAGAAGATAATAGATAAGAGCCACGATGGTGCAGTGGTTAGAGTACAATACTGCAGGCTACTTCTGCAGATCACTGGCTGCCAGCAGTTTGGCTGATTGAATCTTACCAGACTCAAGGTTGACTCAGCCTTCCATCCTTCTGAGGCGGGTAAAACAAGGAGCCAAATTGTTGGGGGCAATATGCTGACTCTGTAAACTGCTTAGAGAGGGCTGTAAACCTGTGCTATTGCTATAATATTTGTAGCTCAGGGGAATTCTCAGTGCTCTCTGAGCTTGGTTCTTTGCTTGCAAATATTTCATTAGTCAACTAATGCTTGTTGAATAATGAAACTACCGCAAGCAACAAAAAAAGGTCCTAGACCATCTAGAATTCCACATAAGGACTAACACAAATGTTCATAATGTAACTGAGAAGAGCCATTGAAAGAGAACACAACACACAATATAGCCTATTTTTTCATCGACTTTCATTCTTGCAAGCTAATTCCCCATTGATCAAATTGATGTTCATACTTTCTCCAGTTTAGTTTTAATGTATGAAAAATTCACCCTAGAGCCATACAGTTTCTAGCATTAAGTTAGGATTCTGCTGTTTAAAACCTCACATTTGATCACGTTGCATTACTGCTCTTCTAGTGAATGACACTAAGTCAGAAACTACAAAGGTATTGGTGATATATGCAGTGTCAAGAGCAATTAAATAAAAATAAATAAATAAATAAATAAATATGCTCTGAAGGAGCTTAGGTTAACAATCAAGATAACCTTGATATTAATTAAATATTCAAATGTGCCTTTTTATTTACACTCATGATAGTTAGCAACTACCATTCTAAAATGAAACAGACATTTTCATTGCTGAACAGAACAGAGTGAACTGCAAAGAAACAGTAGCAGGATTATGTTGTTACTTTTCATGCTTTGTAACAATGAGGATTATACAATAAAGATTTGATTTAAGTTTCAAGAAGAATAAATATGTGCTTGTTACAATCATTTAAGATGTTGCCCTGAGTTATACTCACAAAGAACAGTCTATAATGCAACAGAAGTTTGTGGCTGCATATTAATGAAATAACTATTACATTGGAAAGGCTTACTCCAGAAAGCCCGATCAATTTTTAGAGTGAAAGTAACCTAAAACTATAACATTGCACTACTTCTATTGTTATATTTAATAGAAAACATGCAGTCAATGATAGCTTAGTAAAAAAATACCATATTTATCAGAGTATAAGACGCACCGGAGTATAAAACGCACCAAGGTTTTGAAGAGGCAAATTTAAAAAAAAGTAGATAGGTAGATAGAGGGATAGACAGGGAGAGAAATAGAGAGAAATATAGTAGGTAGGTAGGTAGATAGGTAGGTAGGTAGAGAGACAGAGTAGTTAGGTAGGTAGGTAGATAAAGGGGGGAGAGAGAGAGAGGGAGAGAAATAAAGATAGAGAGAAATACAGTAGATAGGTAGGTGTTTCTGTTGGCACAGTACTTGAGCAATCTAATTCTTATCAGTTAAAGAGCTTTCCAAAAGGAAAGCTTCGGGAGGCAAAAAATGCTGTATTCGGTGTATAAGACGCACCCAGATTTTCAGCCTCTTTTTTGAGGGAAAAAAAGGTGCTTCTTATACTCTGAAAAATATGGTACTTTGTACATAGTTAGAAGGAACAATCCCAGATTTGGCCCATAAAATATTAGGTCCAAATTCTGGCAGAATTGAAGCAATCAGATGGATAGTTTTATGATCTGATACAACATATGGCTGATCTACATGTTTCTAATGATAAGCTACCTGGAAAAAGAATACTATCTGGAACTTAGAAATGCAGTAAACTGAGACTGGGGTTTAACCTGTTTTAAAAAACATAAATTTTGATGTATGATTTTTCAAGAAATGAATGCAACTTATATTGTGGGTAGATAACAGAAGAGATTGAAAAAGAAAAGAAAAGAAAAGCAACATTTTTTTGGAAATTTTAAATACAAATAAAGTGGATTGTTTGAAAAACACAGACATTAACAGTACAACACTTATTAATGCTAGAATGTTGTCTCGGATCAAGAATATGAGGACATTAAAAATTAGCATAACTCTGTTGTGTCTTCAGAATGGTTCGTCAAATAGAAAATTACCAAACTATTATATAGATAATCTTCCAATGATCCAAAGTACTCATGTCACTGCTGCTGTTCCTTGCCTTAGACCAAACCCTGACTGAGGCATCCTAATACATGCCTCTCAACAAATGGGGGGCACCACTGACCTCGTGCTGCATCAGAAGGAGCCTCAGTACTAATTAATCTCTGTCCAGCACACATGGAACGCAACATCTGAAAGACAGCCAAAGGTGACACATTCATGCGTAGAAGGTCCAGAAGAATCCTAAGGAGAGAAAATAAAAATGTAATACTTTCTTGATTACAGTATTTGAAACCAATTGTTTCTCGCTTGTTAAGTAAAATTAACAAGTGTCTAAAAGAACTGATGGACATAATTCAAATATATACATGTTTGGTAATCCTACCCCAAGAATATAGAGTGTCAGATCCATGAATCTGCCATTCTTCAGGGAAAGGGGGGGGAGGGTATACTCCTTTAGACCCTTTTACCCTTCTTTCCTATATACAGATGAAACTCGAAAAATTAGAATATCATGCAAAAGTTCATTTATTTCAGTAATGCAACTTAAAAGGTGAAA